ATCCATAGCCTCCCGTCCCATATAAGTCCGTTATCAAAGACTGCAAATGTGTCCAAACGGCAGTCCTCATCTGCAACACGTGGTGATTCCAGACAGCAATCCCATCTGTACCATGTGTCCAAAACAGTGTCCCTTAACCCCCAAGCATGGCTGACACAAGGTAGCTAGTGCTACACTAATGGTCTCCGAAATTTGTACCTACTTTTCCCTCTTTTGATCTTGATTTTTCATTTTATCCCTAAACCTTTAATCTACTTGAAGCTTTTGTATGCTGTAAGAAATATGAATCTCATTTCAATTTTCTATAGGTAGATGTCTAATTTTGCTGCTGTTTCTGTCTGCGCCTATGGGGTGACACGGGCTCGGACATGCACGGAGGCGCGCGCACACACACACTCACAGACGCTCTCAGGCGCGCGCGCCAACACACACACACAGAGTCGCATAGACACCGACACAGAGACACGGACACGCACGCCCGCACAGACACACCCAGGCGTGCAGTACCGCTGGGCGCCCGCGCACGGAGAGACACAGGCACGCACCCACGGGTTTGAGCGCACAGAGACCAGGACGCAGAGACACACTCGCCCACGCGCGGGCGCGCAGACACACACACACACCGCGGGTGGGGACAGGGAAGAGACCACAGAAGCGCGCACAGGGTGACACGGGCTCCGACATGTACACGCACTCACAGACGCTCTCAGGCGCGCGCCGACACGGTCGCGCGGGCGCACGCACACGGAGAGGCACGCTCTCACAGACAGCACAGACACACCCGGGAGCAGGGTCGCGCGGGCGCACGCACACGGAGAGGCACAGACGCGCGCGCATGCATGCACTCACGGGCTCGCGCGCACAGAGACCCGGACGCACACACTCGCCCCGGCGCGAGCTTGCTGAGACATGCGCGCGCGCGCGCGCGCACACACACACACACACACACACACACACAGCGCGGGCGGGAACAGGGAAGAGACCACGGACGCGCGCACGGGTTGACACAGGGGCTCGGACATGCACGGAGGTGGGTGGGAGCGCGCGTTCGCGGGCGCACAGAAAGACATGCACACAGAGACACAGACAGACACACCTAGGCGCGGGGCAGGGGGGAGGGGGGAAAAGAAGCACACGCACAGACACGCGCATACACACAGAGACACAGCCACAGACACGGAGAGGCGGGTGCGGGCACGCGCGCCCGCACAGGGGCGCGAGCACCCACACAGACGCGCACACGCGCGGGGGACACTGGCACGCACGCACGGGCTCGCGCAGACACACACTCGCCCAGGTGCCAGCGCGCAGAGACCACGGGCGGACACGCACGGGGTGACACAGGCTCGGACATGCACGGAGGCACAGACAGACAAGGCAGGCAGGCAGACACAGACACAGACACACACACACAGTCACACGCAACCCCCCAGACAGACACACACACATACTGAGACGCTCAGGCGCGCGCGCACACACACGCGCGCACACACACAGAGACACAGACACAGCGCCACAGACACGCATGCACGCACAGACGACGCAGACACACGGTGACACGGACTTGGGCATGCACGGAGGCTGGCGCGCACGTGCGCGCTCGCGGGCACACACAGACACACACCCACACACACACAGACACACACAGAAACGCACAGACACAGAGACACAGAGACACATCCGGGCGCGCACGGAGAGGCACAGACGCGCACGCACGCACGCACTCACGGGCTCGGGCGCACAGAAACCCTGACGCAGACATACACTCGCCCCAGCGCGCGCGCGCGCGCGCGCGCGCACACACACACACACACACACACACACACACACACGCACACACACACCGCGGGCGGGGACAGGGAAGAGACCACGGACGCGAGTACGTGCTGACACAGGGGCTAGGACGAGGCGGGTGCGAGCGCGCGCTCGCAGGCGCGCAGGAAGACACACACGCACACAGAGACACAGACACTCCCAGGCGCGGGGGCAGAGACCGGGGCGCGCGCTCACGTGCGCGCGCAGGGTCCGCGCACAGAGACCCAGACGCAGACACACGCTCGCCCAGGCGCGGGCGCGCAGAGACGCGCACGCACGCACATAGTGACTCAGAGCGCAGGCGGGGACAGGGAAGAGACCACGGACACGCCCACTGGGTGACACGGGCTCGGACATGCACGGAGGCACAGGCAGGCAGGCAGACACAGATACAGACACAGACACACACACACTGAGACGCTCAGGCACGCGCACACCCAGACACACGCACACACACAGAGACACAGACACACGCATGCGCGGGGGCAGGGACGCGTGCGCCCGCCCGCGGAGAGACAAGAACACGCACGCAAGCACTCAAGCACAGACACGCAGGCGCGCGCGTACAGAGACGAAGAGCCACAGGCGGGCGCGGGCATGCGCACGCACAGGGGGTGCACGCACCGACACAGGCAGGCAAGCGGGCACACATGGCGCTGCGCGCGCACGGAGACACAGGCACACCCGGTCCCCCCCACAACCCCCAGTCAGCACAGCCCCGGGCGCGCGGGCGCGCGCGCCGGAGACACACACCGTCACGCCCGCCCGCACGCGCACAGACACGCCCACCCGCGCGCAGAGGCCCGCCCGCACACGCAAGGAGACACAGGCACGCGGGCGAGCGCGGACAGACAAGACAACCGAGCCCCAGGTCCGCAGAGTCGGGCGCGGCCGTGCGTGGGCCCGGCATCGGCACACAGAGATGGAGTCGGGGAGGAGGAGGACCCGGAGTCGGGGAGGAGTCAGAGGAGGAGGAGGAGGAGGAGCGGGATGAGGAGCTGCACACAAGAAAGAACTCGCAAGGAACTCATGCAATATTATTCAAAATTTGACTCTGGAGAACATTATGCTGAGTGAAATATCCCAGTCACAAAAGGACAAATATTACATGATGTCACTGTTGTAGAATGGGACTGTCCTTGGGGTTGGGGAGAGACTGAGTAAGATGGGTTCAATAATGTATACTGCACTGAAACAGAGGAGGGAGAAAA